AATTATTCATATTTTTATAAAAAATATTTTTTAAATAATATAAATAAAAACATAAATTATCTTACGTCCATTTTTATATATTTAAGGCAAGGGGAATAATTTTGGTTAAACCCTCAATTTGATCCCTCAACTATTATATAGATCTTTAATTTAGTCTTTAAACTAAAAAAATCTTTGATTTGATATTTATTATTTACTAATTTGACATCAAGTTGATTTTTTTGTACAAAAACAACTGACACAACTTGTTATTAATGTGACATATGATCGTTAAGTGACTATTTTCTGTTATTAAATAACAGACATATCAGTTACTTTTTAACATAAGGACCAACTTGGGTTTAAATTGATAAATAGTAAAAATCAAATCATAAGTTTTTTTAGTTTAGGAACCAAATCATGAATTCATATAATAGATGAGGGATCAAATTAGGAGTTTAACCAATAATTTTAATGGTTTTGGACCACGAATTTCAGATAGAACCCAATCCATTTTGGTTGGGACCAAGTCAAATCAGAACTGTTTTGGTTTCATTCGAACCAATCCAATTAATGTGGATCCTTACGATTTGTTTGGTTCATGGATAAACTTGGGCCAAATTGCAGCCCCACTCTGAATTAGTCTTTGTCATTTATTTTTTATATATTCCATAGTCAAACCCAATTTTTTTTTTTAATATACTAGAACAAAATGTTCAGGTCTATGGAGGGAAAATAGTGGGGAGAGAGAATATGTTCAGATTTTTATCTTGAAGGTGTGAAAGTTTTTTATATTAATGATAAAATTATTTCAACCATCAATATTCCACGTATTCAAACTGAAATTCTAATGTGTATATTGGTTATTTGGTTTGGTTTTGGATTCCTCCATTAAATTTCAAATATTGTTTAAAGGTTTAATTTAATGTCATTTGAAATAGCAATAAGCATATTATTACCTTTGAGAATTTTAAATCTTGGACTTTTAATAAATAGTCATAGAATATTCAAATTTTTTTTATCGTGTCAAAAAAAAACTTTATAGTATATTTGGCTTAAAAAAATAAAAGAAAAAGATAATACTATTAACTAATCAAAATATAACATTTAAAAATAATGCAATTTAATTAATAAAAAATTCCATTCATTTTCTCTCCTCAAACAAAAAATACCCTTAACAATTGCAAAAGTAAGCATTTATAGCCTACCGTCAACCACGGCTAGTTTCTCATGTTAAATTCTCACTTATGCACACTATTGGTCATGTGCTTTTCCATCAACTTGTTGGATATAGTCCGAAACTAATTATTTTCAACAATAATATAATTATAATATTATATAAAATTATAAAATTATAATTATAATACATTATTAAATAAATTAAAGCATTTACTACAAAAAAAATTGATATTTTATGATGGTAGAATTTATCATGAAAAC